ATATTCAAAGCTCCTTTAATAAAATAATTAAAGAGAAAATTCACTTTTATGTTTAGGAGTATCAATTGGAGGCAATGATTTTAAAATGAATATTAAGAAATAAGTTTTCTAACCAAGAAATCTATAACCAGGATCTTTATAACTTAATAAATAAGTACAGAGCTGATGCTTAAATTAAAAACAATGCAGTAATTTTATATGAACACTTATTAAAGTTATAACAAAAAAATTTTGAGTGATATTTTAATGTTGACTTTGAGGAAATTAATAATAGGCTTTGAGGATTTTTTGGATGTTGCCTAATCAAAAAAGTTTATGAGCTCGATTTTATAATATAATGATTAATGATAATACATGCAAAACAAATAAATATAGGATGCTCTTAAGTATCTTTATTGTAATAGATTCAGACCACAGAAGCTGTATTGTAGCAACAGCCATAGTTAGTGATGAGACAGTATCAACATATGAGTGGATCTTAAAACAAACACTATTAGCTACTAATAATCTTTAACCAGCAACAATTTTTACAAATGTGAATCCAGTGATGCAGATTGCCTTGTCTAATAAGTATTCTGAAACTAATGTTTAGCATTGTGCATTTCATATTCGACAAAACTTAGTTAAAAACTTAAAAGAAAGTTTAATGAGAAATAAAATATGTTTATTTCTGATTTTTATACACTGCAGAACTTACTTGTAGTATTAGAATTTGATCAGTATTGGGTAAATCTAATGCATATTGTGAGCATGTATTATACCCAACTAAAGAATGTTGGGCATACACATTCACAAAGCGAAGTTTCTCAGTCAACACCCATTTAACGCAATGTGTTAAGTATATAAATAGAGTTGTAAAAGTAGAGGTGAATTTAGACAATTCTTTGTGTCAGCTTCGATTAAAAGATGAGGTTAAGTACGCAAAATTCCAAGAATTTAGAAACATGAATCCAATTGCAGATCTTCCTCATGTGTCTAATACGATTTTCAAGAAAATTAATATAATGTGTAAGAAATATCTTATACCAAATTTATTAGCTTTATAGCAAAAGCAAATTATGAAAAGTCTTTTATATAGATCATTATTACATAATAGTCAATTTGACATTAACAAAGATCAGGCAAGTGTTTTCTTAGATTGTATTTGTGTATTTTGATGATTACTATGCAGATGATCATAATAAGTAAAACATTAATATATATAGTAATTTGTATGCAGATGATTGTAATAAGTAAAGTATTAATCATGTAATCATAATCTGTATAGTGATAGGCAAAATGTGCATTTTGTCCATTTTTAGCCAAACTTAATGACTAAAGACATATGTACATATTATTTGGTTAGATGTTAAATCATCATCATAATGCAAGATTTTACTGTAGCTAAATAAGTTTTTTTTTTTTTTTATACTGACAATATTACTATCATTGAGCATGTGTGGTGTTCTTTTATTTATAAATCTGGATTACATCTTGTACATTGTAATTTTCCTATTTCTATATTATTTGTACCTCCTTAATTCATACTCGGTCCCCTGCGTACTTTTCATTCATCTTCCTGCCTACTGGCGGTGTTTCGGTTTTAGCACTATCTGGTCCTTCTTTCGGTAATCTGTTCTGTACTACTTCAGTACTTGTTTTGCCATTTCTTGGTCTGTTCTAAGGTTTTGGTCATCCTTCTATTTCGGGTGTAAGCAGGGACCCCCTGAGTGTCGAATCTAGAGCTGCAGACATTTAAATATTTACTATGAAATATGACGTAACGTATATTACATGACGTATGACATTATATATAAATTGTATATGATGTAAAGGGTGACGTAGGGTGACATACTACCTTTGACCTTCTAAATGTCTGCAACTATAGTCGAACCCTGTGGTCCCTTTCTTTTATTAGATTAGTACCACTACGTTCTTAAGCTGGATTTACTCAATTTTTATATCATTTGTTGACAGATTTGCCTTATCTGATTGTCCTCGACCTGTGGTTATGTCGACGGACTGCATTCTATATATATGAATCCTGTTCCTTCCTTACATAGAAATTGTCTTCTCAAAAATTCTTTTAGTCATAGTTCTGACAGAGTCTTGTCCTCCAGTTGGATTCAAACTCGCAACTTTGCGACTGTGATCTGGGAGCGCTAACCACTGTGCTATCGACCCTTAGGTCTAAATAAGTTTTGATGTTTGATTAAAACAAACAATTTTAGTTTTTATAAAAGATGATTATGAAGAACCACAAATCTTACTAGACATGGTCTTAAAGGATTGTTTCAGAAGCAATATAAATGAAATTTGGGAAGTTAAACATATTCAAAGTATAACTAATCATTCACAATTCATTTTATTACTTGATGATGGTATGCACTATTGTATATGTCTCTATTTAATATATGTCAGATTCATTTGTTGTTATTTTTTCACTATAATGATCTAATCAAAAAGGCACTTTTTAATATGAAATTGATAATCTCTCATTGGTATTCTAAAGAAGGTCTTTTACTGTTTGATAAAAACCAAGAATCATCTGTTCAGTTAGTACAAAGTGATGATATTCCAATTTCAAGTAATATATTTCAAGCATTAGAAAAGATCTGTAGACAAAAATTAATAATAAAGCTGCTGTGGATTCAGACTCAAAAAAGGTTCTCTATAGCTATGATCTTGCTATTTGCAAAAAAGCATTGAATTTAGCAATTATGAATGGGACCAATAAGGCTTTGGATAACGTTTTGCAACAATTTATTAGTGAACAAATTTCAACACATAAGAACACTGCTTCTGAACAATCTCAACAAGGTTTAGGTCAGGAAGTTGATAATTTTAATATTTCAAATCCAACTCTACATAAAGGCAAGGGATGCTCTGCACACAAAAGATACTTGTTCATAATTTTCAAGATGAAATATTAAAATCGATGTCAAAAAAGAAAAATAAGTGGCAATGCGTTATATGTAAGTCATAGTATCATGATTCCTAAAACTGCTTCTCAAAAGAGTAGTTGTGCTACTAAAAGCAAAAAGGTTAGGTAGTAGGAAGTGTTTATGCTGCTCATATTGTTTATTTTGCTAATGAGTTACATTGCCTATGTTGTTTTATTACTATGTTGTTTATATTATATTACTTATATTTATACTATTTATGTTGCTTATGTTGTTATAATGCATAAATTTATTGGCTTGATTAGTATAGTGAAACTGTCTGGTTTCTGAAAAAATAGTATAGAGCTAAGTGCAAAAGATCAAGTAGCGGATGATATATTATTTTGCTTATATTGTAATTTGTGAATTCATGTTGTTTGATTTGCATATGATTATAAGTTTGTGAATTAGGATGGCCGTAAGTATGAAATTTATGTTGATATATCAGATTTATTAAATATATATTTGATTTACTTGTAGTATATTCGTATTTACGAATCTACTTGTAGTATGTTTGCATTTATTGTTAGTATGTAGTATTGAAAGGTTAGTCAAATTTAGAGTTGATATTAGTAAAGTCACATTGTTGATCTATATAAATCAGACTAGATTTGTACATCTGAATTTTAGACCTGGGATATAAGCTACAGAATTAACAATTCATGTATGTTAATTAAGTAACTAGATTTAAAAGGGATCACTAAAGTCTTATACCTATGTGATTTTTTAAAGTTTTGATTGTAATTCAGTAATTAGGGTTAGGGTTAGTTTAGTATTAGAGTAAAGGCAAGCATATAAATAAAATTTCTTTTATGATATTTTTTATTAGTACCAAAGTAGGTTAGACTACTATTTTTCATATTTTTTATTTTTTTAATTTGTTGATTTTTTTAGGCTGATTTGTATAAACAACATTTTATGATTATCTATATAGAAAAAGTCATGTGGGTACAAGGCTTTAGTGAACTCCTTTAAAAGGTTATAATATTTATAGTATTTATGCGATTTTACTATATTGTGTAGGTGGGTTTAAAGTTATGATCAGTAATGCTAAAAATGCTTTATATTAACAATTTATATAGATTATATAAAGATTTTAATATATATTTATTTGAATTTTGATTGGTTAATTTAAGGTAGAATAGTAGTATCCCTCAGTAAGAATTAAAAATTGCCTTAAATAAAATATGTAATAATAATAATAGGCATTCGTATATTTACTGATCTCAATATAATTTAAATAATCATTTGTTGAATAGCAGTTTAAATAGTATTTAAATCGTGCCATTCAACATAACAAATATTTTAAATTTTACAGCTCATATCACAAAGAATTTTGAAGTTATCTTGATAAACTAATATTCAAATAAAAGCTTAGAATTTAATTATCAAAATAGCTTTAAAATTCTGAGATAAGGGCTGTGAAAGCTATAAAAATTAAAATATAAAGCATCAAGGATGGCCTCAAAAACCTAGACTATATAATTATTTTTACCAATAAAAAGATTATACAGCTTTATTGTTTGTTAAATAAATAGGTTTTTGGGTTCCTGAATAGAGTATATTACAAAAATCACATTTGAGTATATAAAACTAGTATATTATATATAAAATAGTATAGTCATATCTTAAATTATTATTTGACTTTACAAAAATTTGACAGAAGTTTATTTATCATTATAATTATAAAATATATTAATATATACAATTGTAATCTACTATTTGTATTACTCATTTACAGCTTTCAGGTACTAGATGCTAGTTAAACATCTTGTAAAATATAGATAAACTTTTTTGAAATGATAAATGCTATTCTTTTTTCTTTCTTTTGTTCTACTTTGTCAATTAATATTAGGTCTACCAGAATACTTTTTTTTTGTAGTTTTTGATAGTACTTTTTTTTTGACATGAAGTTGTTGGGCTCCTCTTCTTGTTATATAACATAAACAAATTTTCTAAAAAATAGTTTATTTTGATAAATAATATTTTTTCTGTTTTTTTGTCATAAGAATATATATATTTTTTGGCAGTATAATATGAAATAATCAAAGACTTTCATTCTTTCTTAGTATAAATAATATGTCTAAAAGTTGAAGATCAGCACAAACTCTCTCTTATATAAATTTATAAAGGGAAAAGTGAATAACAAAAAACAAGACAACTACTCAATACAGGTTTAACAACTATTTTAACCAAGGCCTAACAAGGGCAGTAGCCATTACACCAAAAAAAAAAGTATATTCCTCTTGGAATACAGAAAACTTGCAGCAAAAAATTAAAAATACAAATACAAAATCTGTTTTTAACTGAACAAAAAGAAAAAAATATGTCAAAACGACAACAAAAAAAAGGAGTTACAGCAAATATAACTACTCCAACACAAGGAGTCAAACCAGTTGCAAATAAAGCTAGCTGAGAAGAACTAGTTTCTCAAGAAGAAGAAAGTCAAAGCTTGGCCTTTGCGAACACATCAACACGTAATAACAAAAAATGACAAAACAACAAAGAAAGTCATATCAAAAAATATATATAAAATCACGTAACCTCAAACTATGAACAACCAATAGAACAAAACATAGCTGGTACTATGGAATTTTTTAAATACAATCCATATATTGGAAGCTCATTATCTTCTAAAGGAAAAGCCAAAAAAAATACTAGTTAACCAAAAGATACATCAGCTAAAAAGTGGTCAAGTTTATTCACCAAATTAAGAAGAAGTTAATTAACCTATGCAGCATTTTCTTTTAGAAAACAAATAAGAACCAAGAATGAAAATGTACTAATTATAGAAATACAAGATATTCAAAGCTCCTTTAATAAGATAATGGTATCTCTCTATAAAAGCATTAAACAAGATGTTATAGCAGCAAAACAATACTTTAAAAAAGGCAACTGCATATATTTGGAGATAGTCTTTATTAACAAAACTACTCTTGGTATCCACGTAGCCAAAGGCATAAATATCTTTAACAAAATATACTTTGGTTATATTCTAACAGATTTATACAAATCTTATCTTCCAATTAAACTCTGTAATGTACCATTATGAGGAAAAAAAGAGATAATAATGCTAATCAAAGATGCATTCCAAGACTTGGGCAAAATAGCCTCAATTAAACCACTAGTTATCGAAGAAACTTCATACTTAACAGATCAATGGATTGTCATTTTCAACACAACAGAGGATGCTGATCTGGAAAGTCACATTCCTCACTTTACTTATCTTAGAGACAACAAAGTTACAACTGAATAGAAGTCAGCTTCTAAAGTCTGTTACTTTTGTGATCAAGAAGGATATATAAAAAAAGAATGTCCACAATTCAAAGAATCAGTTGTGCTAAGACAACCCTATCGAGGGTTCAAAGAAGCTTTTAAAACAAAAAATAGAGATTATTATAGCAAACTAGCGCAAGTAGAAGAAACCTTATCAGAAATCATAAAAAATAATGAATCAAAAGAAGAAACAATGATAATAGATGCATTAGAAGAAGAAGATGTTACTTCTAATATACTAGATGAGATTAAAGATTCTTAGGAAAAAGTTGAGCAAGCTACCATTTTTACTGAAGCAGAACTTACAACAAGAGATGAGCTTGCCATCCTTAAACAATAATAACAAAGAAAACAACCCCCTTCAGAAAGCGAATCTGTAGTGATTTCAATAAAGGAAGACTTTACAATAGTATTTTACAAGAAAAAGAAGGACAAAAAAGTTAAAAAACATATGTAAACAAGCAACAGTAAGACAAGCTTCTTATAAAAAAGAGCGAATCAAGGAGAACACTCCAAAACCTCATTAAGAGCATATTATTTATATATATATAATAATAACCAAAGCAATAATTAAAATTGCAACTCTAAATATAAAAGGACTTAATGATCAGATCAAAAAGCAAAAAACAATGATACTATTAAAATCTTACAACTTAGATATAATATTTTTACAAGAAACAAATTTTAACAATCAGGCAACACAAACCTTTATAAGAAAACAATAGATATATAATTCAATTTAGACAAACAAGATGGCAATACTGGCTGGCAGAAAAGAAATAAACTTTCAAGATACAGAGGTCTTACATGATGGAAGAGTTATCTCTACAAGCTTCTCATATAGAAACCAATCTTTCTTAATAATAAACCTCTATGCTTCTCCAAATATAAATAACAGAACAGCTTTTTTTGATAAGTGGTCTCTACAATACAAAGAAGATTCTATTAATATTCTGGCAGAAGATTTCAACACGAATTTAAACCCTGCTATAGATAGAATAAGCCAAGCTGTAATTTAGAATGACAATACTAAAACTCAGCTTAAAAATTTGGTAAAGAGCTACATAGATTCTGCTCTATATGCAGAACAGAAGCCTTTTCTCACATTCCATCAAAAAGTTTAGAATAACCAAACAATAGTGACCAGACTTAACTATATCTTTATAGATGAAAATTATAAACATCATATATTATCAACAAGGCTGCTTTTTGGAAACTCAGGCCATCTGTTAATTGAGTGTTGTATGCTCACAGAAAAACAGGAATTAAACAACCCTCTTGTTAGAGATTTGATAAGAGCTCATTCAAAAATGAACTCTTAAAAAAAGAAATAATATAGGAAATCATATCTTTTTAAGATATTTCAGAGTAGGATCTACAAAAAATACAAATCCAGTCAATCATAAGAGCTTTCAAAAAACCAAAAGCAAAAAACTCTTTCTGATTCACCTTCAGAAATCTCAGTAAAACAAAATTTCTATGCAAAAAAACTTCATTTTTTTCTCAAAAACCAAACAGGGCTAAGGCACTGACTTCCAGGAAATACAAACAACAGTTTTTAAATATGAGCAAGTCACAACATAAGAAAGCTAGGCTAAACAACAGCAACGGCAAAGTTTTTAATCTTCTTGAAACAGAAGAGAGCAACATTAAGAAGAGCGAAAATTTAGAGCAAAATACCAAATCTCAACTAAATGAGGCTTCAAATACTACAAATAACTACAACAACACTGCTTCAACATCAACTAGTAAAGACTGGGCTAATTTAACTGAGGAAGAGGAACTTGTGTCGAAAGAAACTTTAGCAGAAGGTCCTTCTAAGATTCAAGAATCATGTACAAAAAATGTAAACACAACAAATCATGTGCAAGATGTAAACAACAAACAACACGTGTTAAACAAGAAAGAGCAAAAAGTAAATAGTCAACAAGACATGACACACGTGTCAAGCAACAACCAATCAGAAACACCAAGACACAAAGACTCAAACATCTCTATACGTAACAACACTAAAGAGACTCAACACTCAGAACCAAAGCCAAAACAGTAGTCTAATCTTTTTGCTAAGCTTAAAGGAGAAAAGGCAGCCTACACAAGGCCCACTCCTAGGCAACAAATACACTCCAAGAATAAAAATGCTCTTATTTTTGATATACAAAATCTAAGCAACATTGCAACAAACGATATAATTGCAGTACTAGCTGCTTCATTAGGTGGTAACTTAATTGCTGCGAAAACATATATGTCAAGAGGAAAAAGGGTCTTCTTAGAGATTATTTTAAAAGACAAACAGCAAGTTCAACATTATGCAGCTGAAGAAATCTCTTTGTTTAAGCAAACCTTCTTTGGTTACATTTCTATTAATCTAAACCATTCTTTTCTTACGATTAAGCTCAAAAACACTCCAATGGGAAACACCAAGCAAATTAGTAATAATATCTTACAAGCATTTCATGATATAAGACAAATCGCCTCAATCAAACCTCTTCTTTTCGAAGATACCTCGATCTGTTCGAAACTACTGAAGATCCAGATCTAGCTTCACTAATTCCAAGAAGCACTTATATTAGCAATCATAGAATTTTTACAGAATGGAAGGAAGCACCTAAAGTTTGCTTCTATTGCGACAAAGAAGGCTATATCAAAAGTGATTGTGAGGAGTTGAAGGCTTCAATAGAAACAAGAAGACTCTTAAGAGAGGCCAAAGAGCAAAGAGAAAAAGCTAAAACTTTGCTTTACAACTCTCAAGAAATTTCTTTTAGTCAAGACAATCCATACATTAAACAAGAAAATACAGACGTTGTACTAACTACAGAATCATCTGAAGTACTCTTAAAAGATCAGTCACTAGAAATTACAATGGAGACAAATCTTTATGACTCTACAGGCTCTCCAGATATATCAGAAGAAACAGTATCTGCAGCTATTGTTGACTCCACAGACAATTCTGTACAGATGGAAATAGAATCTCAAGATGATCTTGCAGCTCTTGATCCTTCTACTACAGCTGATGATAATGCACCTTCATCACAGTGGTATCTAGAAAACAAAGAGCAAAAGGCAAAAAGAAAACTTCCATTTGACCAGAAGGTCCATATAGAAAAGCGGATAGCTCTTATCAAAGCCACCCTACATATAAGAACTAACACTAAAGAGATCCACCTTTAGTGTAGCCTCTCCATATTTAACTTCAATGATTAAAATCGCTACACTCAATGCTAAAGGTCTGAATAACAGATCTAAAGCACAAAAAACATTTACACTTTTAAAATCTTATAAACTAGACATAATATTAATTCAAGAAACAAATCTGAAAGATTC